TACATAGGTTTGGTTGGTTATTTGGTGGCTTTTCTCACTATGCATTAGTCTTATTTACATCTGAACGAGTTAGGTTTTGGGTGGGATGTTTTTGTTAGTTTGTTTTTGTTTGGTGGTTGGTTTACAATACTTCTACTATAAGATTTAGATACCCGTTAGCCTTTATTTTTAATTATATGGGTTAAATTTTTAGTTCCGATAGATGGTGATCATTGGATCTTCAAAAGTCTTTTTGTGAGTCCTGTCCAGGGTTCCTAAATAATTCCTACTCTCTAATCAACTGCTCTGTTATGGATGTTGTGAGTGTCATCTTCCTTCTGGGGTCCTCCGTGGCCTTGTGTAGGTAACATGCCCAGGAGATGCCACTTCTGCCCTCTGTGTCTTCTTGCTCCCTTGATGTTAACAGTTTTTTATTACCGCAACTGAGTGTTTTTATGATAGGGGACCCTTTTGGACCCCATTTGTTGCAGGCTCTTGGATTAGTGGGAACACTTCTCTTGTTGCTGCATTGGTGACCAGGATTTGGGCAAACAATCCATTGATGAAATTTGCAACCAAGTGTTCACACCCCACTTCCTTATCCATTTCCCATAAATCAGGTCATCTCTTTATTGGGAAAAGATTTGCACTGGGATGCATGGATCCGCATGTCCTCTCAGCTATCTCGGTTGGTTATCTAAATGACTCATCTAAAATCTGCAAAACTTTACTATCTCTGTTATTTGCTAGGATACATGTGTTGTTGCTTCACATGAAACTTATTGCATATTAATTCTAGGAAGGACTGAAAAGCTATCCTCTATGTCTGAATGGGTTCAGATAATTTGGTTTAACTATATATAAATAATCTACTTTAATGATTAAGTATACAAAAGGAAAAACAACAAACATTCAAACAGTTATAATATCAACTCTAAAATAACTCAGGTCTTTTTTAGTTATAGATGACCATGTAAATACCATATTGACCTTGTCTGTGAAACACTTAGTCATAGTCAATTGGTAGTCTTGAATAGGGCTGTTATTAAATCATTCCTGTATTCCATAATGTATCTTTATTTTATGTATTGGCATACTATTTGAGTTATTAAATGTTTAAAGATTTATTTAAAGATTTTTTCTAAATCATTAGCTGTGCTAAAGATGCGACTCATCTGCTATTTCTATCAATTTAATATGTATATACTTCTATCAGACTCTTGGGAGATCTCCTCAAAATTCATGATCATGAATTTTTAATATGCGTTTTTTAGACTATCCAATGGAATGTAAGTGCAGTTACAGCTGCAGTAGGTAACTTTTTGTCATATTTGCTGAAATTTTCACTATATCCTGATAGTAGTACACTCCTAGTGTTACTAATGGAATTTGCAAAAATCCACTGGCTTGGATCTTTATATCTGTCTTGACTCTGATTGGTTGTTTTTGTTCAGGCCCATTGGATTCTTGTAAATACCATTAGGAGCACTAGGAGGAGCCAGATTAACCTGATTTTTACAGATTATCTGTCTCAGTTACTATGTCAGGATATGTGAAAGTTTCAGTAAATATGACAACAAAATATTTTTCTAAAAGTTACTGCAGCTTTAAAATTGTTCTCTTGACAGTTATATTCAGGTTAACTTTGGGGATTTGTAAATTGAACAGCAGCTTGTGAAAGTACATATTCAAATCTGCATATTCACCACACAACTGAACCTTTGTCCTGCAGGGCCTCGCCAACTTGGTGGACCTGAAAATGGCGCACAACGAGTACATCAGTTATCTTCACACACGAACATTCACAGGGCTGAAAAAGCTGGTGCGCCTGGACTTGTCAGACTGTAATCTCTTCAACATCCCTGACCGCATTTTCATTGAGCAAACGACACTGAAGGAGCTGCTCTGCTTCCAAAACAACTTCAGGAGGGTCCCCGGAGCCATCAGAGGCATGGAGAACCTGACTCACATCTACCTGGAGAGGAACAGGATAGAGGCGGTGGCCTACAATTCCCTGCTGGGCCTGGGTAGTCTCAAGTGAGTTGCAGGCTGGAAGTAGATCATGTAATGCTAACTCAGGTTAGCACTGCCTCACATAGCTACCAATAGTCTAGCTATGTGTAAAGCCTAAACATTTAATTAGCAGTGTTAAGCTACTCTTGTAGTTATAAGTCCTGAATCAGTAACATGATACTGCCAACTCCTTAAATCGAAGGCTCGTAAAATTTGTTATAGGAAGAAGTTTAAAAATATGAACTCACTAGATGAGTTGATTGAGTGTCCTCTATCGAGAGAAAAAACTACACCAGGCAGATGTCGAGTCACAAAATACAGGAATGACTTTAACTGTGAAATGGCTCTTCCATCACAGTCAATGCAAACTCTGTCAAATCAAAGATGTCAGACTGGAGCACACCGCTCGGTGCTGCCACTGCTGGCTGGAAGATATGCTACTACTATAATACAGTTTATACAACTACTAGCAGTGTTGGATCAGATTACTTTGAAATGTAGTCAGTAACTGAACACAAATTACAGGGCTTTTTTTGTAATTAGTAAAGTAATCCATTGGATGACAAAAAAATTATCTAATCTGCAAATAGATTAGCATATGAATTTAGCATATTCAGCATTTACACTTGGTTTAAAACCATTGTTTTGCTAGCTGTCCACTAGCAATCCCATGATGCCTGTCGACACAAGCTGTGCAGGCATGTGTGTGACAACTCTGATCTCCAATGTATTGAACAATGGAATAACATGAGATTGATCCCATTCCCCTATCAACATCTATAAAGCCCAAAGGGTTCATAGAGCATTGATTATCATGAAAATTGCCGTATTTTAAAGACATAATCAAAAATGTAATCAAGTAATCCTTGACAAAGTAACTATAATCTAATTACATTTTTTCAAATGTAACCTGGGCTGTTTATAGTTACTTATTCTTGTAATCTGACTAAGTATTGTACATAGATAGACATTGATTTGGCAAAATGATCTTAAG